GCCCAGGCTGGAGTGCAATGGTGTGATCTCAGCTCACTGCAACCTCCACCTCCCAGGTTCAAGTGATTCTCCTGCCTCAGCCTCCCAAGTAGCTGGGATGACAGGCACCTGCCACCACGCCTGGCTAATTTTTGTGTATTTAGTAGAGACGGGATTTCACCATGTTGGCCAGGCTGGTCTCAAACTCCTGACCTCAGGTAATCCACCCGCCTCGGCCTCCCAAAGTGCTGAGATTGTAGGCTGAGCCACCACGCCCTGCCTAAACCAACTTTTGTGACATGGCTTTTTAAGGTAATAGCATGAACCACTTCATTCCTCTGCCAGGGTCTGATTCAACCCTTCAAAAACATGGGTGGACCTGTGATTTGATTCCACATTGGATCCCCACAGAGCTAGTCTTGGCTTTTCACTTGGAACATGCCCAATGCTGATACAAAGTAAAGACTCACTATAGATCTTATTGCTATCCATGGTACATTATAAAACTTGTCTAAATATTTAAAGGTTTAAAACAAGCCTGAGCAGTGGGTGTCAAGAGTATAAGTCAGGTATATTTCATAGTAAAATTAAAATGCCATTAAAATTTTGTTCTTGTGGGGCTGGGTGTGGTGGCTCATGTCTGTAATCCCAGCACTTTAGGAGGCTAAGGCAGGCAGATCACCTCAAGTCAGGAGTTCAAGACCAGCCTACCCAACGTGGTGAAACCCCCGTCTCTACAAAAAATACAAAAATAAGCCAGGTGTTGTTGTTGGTGCCTCCCAGCTCCTCGGGAGGCTGAGGCAGGAGAATTGCTTGAACCTGGGAGGTGGCGGTTGCAGTGGGCCAAGATCACGCCATTGCACTCCAGCCTGGGTGACAACAGCAAAACTCCATCTTAAATAAATAAATAAATAAATAAATAAATATTGTTCCTGCTTTGTAAATGCTGCTTTCATTTTTTTCATTTTGGAGTGGGGAGCCTTGCCGATAGTCAGTGACTTGTATATTTGTTTACAGGCATTTGATAGGCTGCTCTTCATCTTGCATGAAAAGATAAAAGACCTAGCCAGTTTAATCCTACTGGGATTCATATCAGTGGCCTCAGGGGGGTTGAGATGCTTCAAAGCTGCTGTTTAAAGGGCAAAACTAAGTATCTTACTTGGATAATACTAAAGTATGTCCTTTATGGCTTTATTAGAATCTGAATTGTAAACATTTGGTACCGTGGGTTAAAGTTCCGCTTTAAAATTAATTTCTGAGTATGTGAGATATGCCTTTTCTTTGTGACATTTGCAGTGCAGTGAATTCAGGCTGTTTTTAAAAGGTCAAGTTTTTAAAAGGCAGGGGCATTAGTGCCAGGGCTGCTTGAAGATGAACAGCTATGGAGAAATCCTACAGTGAAAGAGGTTGGTTTTTTGTTTGTTTGTTTTGAGGTGTCATTCTAGGATATATATATATATCCTAGTTGTTGGCATAACATTAAAATGAGTGACACAATACAGGTTTCTTGTATAGGTTTTGAGAAACTAGCAGTCCTCAACAGACGAAGCAATGTAGTTTTTGCTAATGGCACTTGCTGTGACTCATGATAGGGACCTACTGCTGATGAGCATTCCAACAAAAATAGCTTTAACTTCACCATTTATTAACATGGCTACCTTGTTAAAACATTTTCTGAAACCAAAAGCTAGGGTGATCATTCATAGCATTGTCTTATTAAAAGACTATGTCATACTGTATCATAGAAAAAAACATTCTGGGTGGTAGAATTTGCTTCCTGGTCTATTAGGTTATCTGTTCTCCCCTCTAACTTAAGGTAATGTCTGGAAACAGCGCCATTCAGGTATTGCTTAGGTAACTAAACCAGTGAAACCAGTGAAACTGCCTCTATACTGTTACCAAGAACAGCAGACTCCCATTACAAAAAAAAAAATCTCTTATTACCCTACTCAAATTATTCATCTTTAAAAAGGCATAGGGTTTTTTTTTCTCTTGAGAATTTTTGGATTAATTTGAAGATCATTTCAAAATGATCCAGGATAACAATCTATTTTCCCTTTTCCTAAATTATTTCTCAAAACAATGTAATTTCTGTGTGTGATGACCTAACAGTCACTAACAACCTCAGCGCACTTTTTGGTTAGATACTCCACACCCAATAGCTAAAATCAACTGCTTTTGGGATTCTAAAGTTACAGGGTCTGTATGAAAATACCAGACACATTAATAAATTAAATTTTGGTGGCCCATTCATGATATGGCTCTTGTATCTCTAGATTCTGAGACTGAAAATGTAACTTGATCAAGCTATCAAATTACTGTAATAAAACAATTACTCCCTTAGAATTTTAATTTAGAATTTGTCTACTTCCAAAAAGGGTTTAAAGCAGTTACTATCAGACTGGCATTAGGTCATTTCAAACGTTGCGGAACACAGAGGATCTTCGTGTATTTAGCTTAACAATACAAAAAGATATTTTGCAACTATAAATATTCACTCTTACAACATGGTGGTAAGACTTTTCTTTGCAGAACAATTTTGCCCTGTTACCTGCCAGATTCTTCTCTCGTGCTCAGTATGAGACAGTTAAGTAAAAGGGAAAAACACTAAAAGCAACTGATAGGCAAACTTCTCACCCTAACTCAAACTTAGCACACAAAATTACTGTCTACCCAGTAGGGTTTTATGTCCTTTAACTGAAAAGGGCACTAAAAATAATTACTGTGGACTTGAGCTTTTCTCTTTCGGGGGAGGGTGGGGAATCACCTCTCTTACAAAGATAAAAGGCACAGAATTAAAGTCTTTCATCCTTTTTTGTATTGGTGCGATTATGAAATATTATGGCTTATACTTTAGCAAGAAAGTACTGGGAAGGTTATTATTAATCGACAATGAATGCCGTTGATACCTTCATGCTCTTTGAAGACATGATGCTCCGGCTTTGAAGCGCTGCATTTCTACACTGCTAACCTACAGGAACCTATGTTGAGGTGGTCCCGCGGAAATACACGACTAACAGTTCATCTATTTCCTCCAGGAACCTTCAGGTTTTACCAAGCATCCTTACCCTAATTATCTAAATCTTTGAGACATAAATTATTTGATGTGGCTAAAAATCCTCCTGCTAGAATTTGAGTCCAATCCTTGTACGTTCTGATACTCGAATTCTTTAACGAAACTGATCATTGAGCTAGGCTGACACATGTCCGCCCGCCAAAATGTCCGCAGAAACGTTAAGAGAAGCTGTCATAAGGCCAGCTTGAGACACATCATAAATGGCCTTCGCTGTCCTTTGAACTAATTATCTAACACCCGAAGAGAGTGCCGGTTCTAGTTAGAATCCGCGCGTCAGGTTCTCCAACCGTCAGAAGGGCGTGTGTGAGGGCAGGGAGGATTTTAAACCCCGTTTCAGGCCCCCTCCCTAGGCTGTAGGAAACCACCCACTCTGAAGCCCGGCGGGGGAAGAGTGCTGCAGCCAGCTGCCGAGGGAGCGCTCTGCGGCGAGGCCGTTTCCCTGAGTCACGGAGAGGGCGGGAGGCTGCCCCCGTCTGCCCCCGCCACGTCCTCCTGTAAGGGGCTCAGTCCAAACAGGCAGGGGTCGCAGGGGAAGGAAGCGGCACCCGTCATGCCTCAAGGTGGCCCAACAGCCACTTCACTCCCAGGAGACGCCGCATTTCCTTAAAACGCGCTCTCCATTCTGGCAGCAATCAGCCGACCCTTCCCCATCAGTATCACGTGCACCTGGAAGTACGTGGGTGGGACCTAAAGCGCCCACGGAAGTGACGTCGGTCGCCCCGAGTCGCATGATGTGGCAAAATGCAAAAAAAAAAAAAAAGTGGGGGTAGAAAAAGAAGATTGGCGAAAGTGATGAGTCTAAAAAAGTAGTCCCTCCGGTTCCTCTGTTGCCCCCCGTGTGGCGTCAGAAGCGAGGCTCCGGGCGCACAGTGCCCGGAATTCCTGCGCCCGCCGCACGCACCGCTCCGTGGAGGGGTACATAAGGCGGAGGGGGTGAGGCGACTGGGCGGAGTTCTGTCGCCGGGATCCTTCCGCTGGGCTCAGCCGTTTCCGGAGTCTGCGCTGCGCCCGGTTCCGCCATTGCGGCTCTCCTGGCCCGTGGAGCCTCCGCCCCCGACCCGAGCTCTTTCGTCTGCGTGCCAGTTTCCTGCGTCCCCGGAGAGGATCCTGCTGAGCCCAGCCTCCCCCCTCCCCTTCTCCTCCTCTCCCTCGGAGAGCCCGGGCAGCCACTGCCCCGCAGCCCCAGTGACAGGAGGAGACCATTCCCCCCGACAGCGCCATGGCCCAGATTCTGCCAATTCGTTTTCAGGAGCATCTCCAGGTGCGGCCGGGCCCGGGCTGGTGAGGGCTGTGGAGAAGATGGTAGGAATAGTGGAAGAAGCTGGAGTCTGGGCCCGAGCAGGATCGGAGCTGGAGGGGTGGGGGGGTTGTCGGTCTTTGGGGTAGATGGAGGAGGGGGCACTATCTTAGAAAGCTTAAACGGTTAAATGATGTGGGGCTTGGATGAAAGGACAGGAGTTGGGGTGCAAAGGGCTGCAAAGACCAGGCCTGGATCCAAAGGCCTCTCGATCTTGCTTCCTGGATGGCCAGAACTGCGCGTACAAACTCTCTCATCCCCATTTTGTTCAGTTCATTCATTTGGGTAGGGGAGTGGGAGGGGGGGTTCTCTCTTGTTTCTACCAGAGCAAGGATTCTTATCCCCTGGGCCAGTGCGGGGCTGTCACCTTCCATTGCTCTCCTCTTTCCCTCTTCGTGTCTGCACCCAGGAGTTGTGGGGCGGGTGGGTTGGGGAGGAGCAACCTTTTTTTTTTCCTCCCTCTGCGGCTCTCAACTGAGAAAGGCACCTTCTCCGGTGGTGGGGGTTGGGGGTGGTGGTGAGGCGGTGGCTTGTCTCTTGCCTTCCTTGAGGCAGTAGGGACAGAAGGTCACTGAAAGAACGAAACGAGGGTAGAATGGGAGAACGCATTTCTCAGAGCGATGTCAATCTCAGAGTGTGTGGGGTCGAGCTCCCTAAGGAAACTCGCCTCCCCTCCCCACTTTTTTTATTTCTTTGGGGATGTTGTGGCTCTTAACCCCTCTTTGGTTCTAGAAGGTAGGAAAGAGTGATACAGAGGTTATCTTCTAGTCTTCTCGAGTAGTAGCAGGTAGTTTTGAATATCTTCCTCAGGATCGCATGGAATTGAACAGAGCCCTGGGGACAGAGCACAGCTGCTCTGAGACCAGCGGGGCTATTTGGTCTGTAACTGGCTTCCCTTTAGTAAGTTCTAGAGTTCTTTCCCATGGTTCCTTATCCTGGAGGCAACATATTGTTGTCTCATCTGGCAGCATGCCAATCGCTGGCCTAGGCAGGTGACCATTGGAAGGCTTCACTGAATTAAACCTCTTCAGAGCTTTTGATTTTCCTGTGTCACCAATCCTGATTTTTACTGTAGCTGAAATAATTTATTCCTATTAATTTGCTTTCTTCCCAAATATCCCCTTAAAGAAACCTGCCTCAGCTCTATGGTCTGAAGGGCTAATTCCATAATGACAGAGAATGCAGTGGTTTGACATGACACTAATACCAGTGACTTATTAGACACTTTACCATTGAAGACCATTTTTATTTACATTCCCCCATTGGTATAACATACATAAAAGAGTCTTGTTAATAAAAGGTTTTAATATTCAGGCTATAAGTAACATAATTGCATATTTCTTTGCAGGTATTACCATGTTTGCACTAGCAAGGACTTATTTTCCTTTAAGGCTTGAAATGTAAAGAATAATAAATCTTTACCCATAAAATGAGTTAAATAATGCACTTTCTTCAGTCATCTATAATTTTCAAATAACTCATCTGAAGTAATGGAATATACCTTGGCATATCTTGGCATATATATAAAAATATATTTATGCCAATAATAAAAACACTTTTACAGAAGGTTAAAAACGTTAAATAACAAAGTGGAATTTTTTAAAAATCAATCCAAGTTTAATTGCTTTAGTTATTTTTGTTAAAGTGGGGTGGCAAATGAATGTGGAGAGTTGAGAAAGTGCTGTTCTTAAGTGTGAGGGGAAAACGCGGGCTTGTTTTCATACTAAGCTGCATCTGAAATATCTTTCTGCAGACAAATGTTTATAAACCACACAAAGAATCAAGTACAGCTGCTGTTTATTTTCCATGGCAGATGTATAGCTCACTACTAAATCTTGTGGTGGTTCGAGTAATAGCTTTTCATTTCTTTTAAAGGGGAGACAAGAATTGTTAAATGATGCCAGAGATTGGAACCCAACCTTGTCACTTATTGAAGACAGATTTAATACATGTCTGTTTTGTAACTGGCTCAAAGTTTCAGCAGATACTTGAATGAAGCCATTTTCTTCTCAAATAATTTGAAGATTTTGAATATAAAGCAGATTTGCAAATTGAAAAATTCAGCCCTCTGTGTTTTGGATTGCTATGTCATGCCTAAAGTTAAGCTTGCTTAGCTAATATGACTGTGTGCTCCAGCTGATTAATTGCAGAGCGCAAATAACTACAGCCTCTTCCATGATGATATATCTCCTGACTTCATTATCTCCTACCTTTTGAAAAATTAATAAAGTTTTTGTTTTTTGAAGAGACAGGGTTTTTGCTGGAGGTCAGTGGCACTGTCACAGGTCACTGCAGCCTTGACCTACTGGGCTCAAGCCATCCTCCCACCTCAGCATCCTGAGTAGTTGGGACTACAGCCATGAACCACCACACCTGGCTAATTTTTGTATTTTTTGTAGAGATGGGGCTTCACTATGTTGCCCAGGCTAGTCTCGAATTCCTGGGCTCAAGCAATCCTTTGCCTTGGCCTCCCAAAGTGCTGGGATAATAGGTGTGAACCACTGAGCCCAACTAATAAGGATTATTTTAATTGGCGTCTTAGGTCTCTGACCTCTGAGCTTCTACCAGTTTGCTAAGTAGCAGAAAACTTTCTGAAACACGTAGGATTAAAAACTGGAAACAAGAAATGAGGAACTTAAGTATGAGTATAGTTAGCTTGTGAAACTGTAAATGAACTTATTTTTATACCCTTTAACTGCATTATCCAACTGAAGGATCTGTTGTCATCAAGGAATGCACCTACAGCAAATGAATGTCAATAAATGAAGATTTTTTTCCTAGACTGTTTAGACTGATAGCGGTTAATAAATGAGTGCCTATTTGAGCAAGATATTGTTGGAATTGCAGATTCTATAAAAATCCTAGGCTACATATATAATATATTGCCTGTGATTCTCAATTTTTTGGTGATTCTCAATTTTTTGGCACATTAAGTATCTTTAGACCACTTGACACATACCAGTGTAGTCCTAGATTCTTTGGGTCTTCAATTAAAAATCTCCCTACCCTGTTCTTTCCCCATTGATGCATAAATGCAGGCATGGAATGTGTTGTTGAGTCAAATGTTAGGGATTCTTGCTATAGTTAGTTTGGGTTGCAAATAGAAATCAATGCTAAGTACTGGGATTTACTACATACTTAGTTGTACTCGCTGGAAGAGGTAAACTTCCTGAAATTATGCTGCAGTCTCATGGGAATAGCTTCTAAGTCTAAAATGTATCATATTCTTCAGAATTTTCTTGATGGTCAGTTTACTCAGTGTGTGGTTAATTTTAGTGAAAGTGCTTTCACTCTGATTAGGAAATAAGACACAGAATGGTGTGTGTGTAGAACACAGTCCTTTTCATTTGAGTATTTAGGAAAATTCACATTTCTGGAACCTTGGTAGTTGCTCTCGGACAATTGTTTCTTAGCATAATTGGAATTTGTACCTTGCTTGTAAAAGGTTCCATTTATATCGAGTCCTCAGCTTCTTTGCAGAATTGTTTTTTCCATACATTTGTTTAACTCTATATGTTATTCAAATTATATTTAACAAGATGTTTTTCCTGTCATTGTTAACTGTTGTGGCTTTTTCTCTTTGAGTTATTGTCCAGTAGAACTTTCTTCAATGATGGAACTGTCTGCTAGCTACATAGGGATATTGAGCACTTGAAATGTGGCTGATGACTGAGGAACTAAATTTTTGCTTCAATTTCTTTTTAATTAATTTAAATATAAATAGCCACAAGCGACAGCTGACTCTCATTGGACTGCACAATTATAGGCCATGCTGATGTGTTTTGTAAGTTTGAAGATTTATTTCACCACTTATGTTTATGTATTTAGAATATTTCTTTAGCTAAAATTAAAATGCTCGTTCAAAAGTTTTAACTGAATACTGTCTTGGAAAGTGGTGGTGATGAACGATGACTAGCAGCAGACTTCTTGAGACCTTATTATGTGCTGTAAATTTGGCTAGGTACTTTCAGATCTTCACTCAGTCCCCCTAGACACCTTTCTAAAAAGTGAGACTCAAAGTAGTGGGAATGCTGTCCGAATGGGATGTGTACCTGAGTCTTCTGACACAAAATATTTGGCCTTAGAAAGAGAAGTTATACAGTATCCTAGAGTGCTTTTTTTCTGTTGGACTTAGGCCCAGAGAGGTGAGTTCTCTCTGCTTGTTTATAGATTAACGATGTGGTATAGTAGACAGAACAGGGCTTTAGGGGTTGTTGAAACTAATGCTGTCCAACAGAAAAATAATGTGAGCCACATACTTTTTTTTTTCTTTTTGAGACAGAGTCTCACTCTGTCACCTAGACTGGAGTGCAGTGGTACAATCTCGGCTCACTGCAACCTCCACCTGCCAGGTTCAAGTGATTCTTCTCCTGCCTCAGCCTCCTGAGTAACTGGGATTATAAGTGCCTGCCACCACGCCTGGCTAATTTTTGTATTTTTAGTAGAGATGGGGTTTTACTATGTTGGCCAGACTGGTCGTCAACTCCTGACCTCAAATGATCTGCCCACCTCGGCCTCCCAAAGTGCCGGGATTACAGGCATGAGCTGCTGCTCCTGGCTTCACATAAGTAATTTTAAGTATTCTAGCAGCCATGTTAAAAGTGAAAAAACAGATGAAATTAATTAATTTTGGGTTTTTTTTGGTAGAGACAGTCTCGCTGTATTGCTCAGGCTGGTCTCAAATTCTTGGGCTGAAGTGATCCCCTCGCCTTGGCCTCCCAAAGTGCTGGGATTACAGGCATGAGTCACCATGCCCTGCCTAGATAAAATTAAATTTAATATATTTTATTTAACTTGGGCTATGCAAAATATTTCAATATGTAATCAGTATAAATTTTACTAATGAGATACCTTACATTCTTTTTCATACTAAATTTTCTAAATCTAGTGTGTGTTTTTTTTTTCTTTTTTTGAGACAAAGTCTCGCTCTGTCGCCAGGCTGGAGTGCAGTGGCAGATCTTGGC